TTACTATTTTAGCTTTAAATTATGCCCAACTTCGAGAATTTTTTGTACACAGTTCACTTCTCTTCATTCATTTTCATTTCTTATTCGAGATTAATCTTTACACATCCTTTGGCCTAATCAGCATAGTTTTTTCCTAAACTTGAGCAAATCTTCAATTAGAGAGAAGCTGAAAAAAACAAAATCATAAACTTCTATCGAACACTTTAGTCATATCTTATTCCTGATCGTATTATTGAAAATTAATTAGAAAACAATGACGAACATTTCTTCTTTGATACCATGTCAATGTCTCTTGATTCGCTAACAAATATATACAAATCGTCTGACTTATCTATGAATATTGATGGAAATCTCTGCCTATGGATCTACAATCAAAGTTATTCCTTCAACTTCTGAATATGAATGTTAATCTTAAAATCTTTTTAATCAATAGAGGATATGGATGCGATTATGGATACTCTTTTCACCCACACTCACATCCAATTCAAAAACTACTACTTTCACCGATTGACAAGAAAAAGCATATCTTTGTAAGATACTCATTTAGCGTATAGACACACAAGAACCATATTGAAATTTGATTGCGGCTTGTATAACACATTTTACTATGACAATGAAGAAATTATCCTTTTTCTTTCGGTATGAACCGAATCGAATCAAATACAGATCAATCCACTTACAAGAGTTAGTCCGCCTTTTTCTGAATCATGTTCAATTTTCCATGTTTTTTATTTCATTTTCTTCGTAGCGTGTAAAAAAAGAAGAGAGCATGTCATATTAACGGGTAGTGCTTTGGCAAAAAGGTTATTTCGCTCATTTTTTATTGTTTATTTTATTTCTGCTGAAAAATATCTGATAAGATTTATTAACATAGTTACATTGTAAGTGATTTTTGTATCAATAACATATCTATGACATTTGATATCGTATCTTATACATCGACAAATCTTATCCTTGTTTACATTGCCATAAAAAAATTTGCCTTACAGCCTGGACTCACGAGGGTTCTGTGTCTTACCAGAACGAAGAAAATCGCCCTCTGGTGCTCTCTGGATTCCATTTTCCACAGTTGTGTAGAATCAAATCACCTCCGCTGGATTAAGTTTGACTGTTAATAGCAATAAAAATTATCTCAAATTATTCAACTATTCTCTTTCGATTATGAAATCATATTTTACATCACTATATAATCAAATAACAAACAAAATTTTTTATATTGTATAAACAGAAAAAAAAACAAAAGTTCATCATTATAAAGTCCTTATAAGGACTAAGCTAAATAATAAATTCCATGTATTACGATACATCATTTTCACAAGACTACGACGATATACAAGAGCACAGACAATAAGAACGAGAAAAAAATAATAATAAATGAAATCTAACTAAGAATATTATTCATTTTCTTTTTTTTTCAATCAATATAATATGAACATTCTAAATCTACGTATAGATAAAGTACCCACTCGTGAGAGAGAGAGAGAGAGAAGAAAATGTCATAAGCTCAATATATAGAATACACATAAACATTTGTCTTTACAAAAAAATAATATACATAGAAATGTTTTCGAGTAATAATTGGAATTATTTTTTTTTTCTTTACAAACAATTGAGGGATCAACAACAACGAAATGCAAGTATCTGATAAAAGAAAAAAAATAAATCAATAAAGCTTGTAGGTTTTTTTTTTTGTTATTTCTTTCGGCGTGTTTTTCGAGATGTTGAATTAGCAGGAACAACAACTGTTACTGCTGTTTCGGTTTCTTTTCGTTCTAGAAAATACAAAAGAACAATAGAATATTTGATTCTCTCTAATAAATTAGATATACCTTTAAGTAAATTAGTTTCAATTTTAATAAGTAAAGCAACAAGATCGGCTTTTCTGACACCTTTAGGAATACTTTCACCATGTGTAGTTAATCGAGTTTTGAGCTCAGCGACAGTTAATCCTTCAATCTAAACAAGAAAAAATTTTTATTAAAAAAAAAAAAAAAATTCATATAAAATAATTCGATCTTACCTTCTCTCGTTCTTCTTGGCTTACATCAATTGGTATTATTTCAATCGGAGGAGATATTGTTTGAATAGTTTCTTCTTCATCAGCTGTATTTAATCCTTCATCTTGTTCTACACTATGTAATCGTCGTTTACTTTTTTTTATTGTTGATGTCGAATTTTTACGTTTATTATTCATCGATATAGATGGATTTTCAATAGGATTAGTTTCGGATGAATTTTTTTTGTTTTTTTTTATTGGTAATACTCGTTCAATTGATTCTGAAGATGATGTTGATTTTATATTACTACTTGATATTACTGGTGTTTTTGAACGACTTCGCGTTGACGGTGGTTCAGGTGATGGAACTATATGAATAAATGTCGTTTTTTAAGGTATTACAGTAAATGATTTTGGTTCTTTATCAAATTAATATGTATATTAATTTGTAAAGATTAACAAGCAAACCTTAATAGGATAGGAGAAGTGCATCAAATGAGCTCTAGTTGAATGGTTAGATGTAGTTTATTCAAGGCTTAGATATTATTGTCTCATGAAAAATATAATGGCGGTGAGTATTTTTTTTCAATAGCTCAAGAACCAAAAGAGTTAGACAGTTGTGGTTTTCACAATTCAAGAGTGAACAGCAACAGCTATCATAGTATATCGACATTTGATTGGTCACCAATCGAACACACAAGATGCTTCGCTACATTCGAGAGCTATAAGACTTTTCTTAAGACTCCCGATTTCAGCTAACTGATCTGTGATCATATGGACAAGCTATTAGACAGCAGGTATTTCACTATACTGAGTGAAATGGTGATAGCTGCTTTTAAATTCGAACTGATCTGACACTATCATCTCAATATATCCGAATTTTCACAATCAATGTTTATGTAACGAAGGAGTCAACATTTTGCAAACATTACAATAGTTTCTGGTGATCAAAGTTCGATTGACTGAAATTGGAAGTCTCAGGAACACTCTTGTAACTCTCGAATGGAACTACCTTCAGACTATCACTGTCGAAATCCTTCACCAAAAAGTTACCCAATTGGACCATTGCTTAATAATCAAATTCCGATATAGTTCAATTGTGTCAGATCTTCGCTTTTGAATGGTGAAAACTGTAGATTTCTATGATGTTCGTATCAAACCTTATTCAAAAATCAGTGGTGTACGTTTATTGTTTATAACAAGAGATTTGTGGACAATGCAAAGTACTAAATTCAAATCTGATAACCCTTATAACGATCTGAATGTCACAATCAAAATGAATGCTCCGGTCTCTTCACTGAATGTAAGTTATAGAAAAAAATCAGTACGATAGCTTTGAAACATTTGACACAATTCCCTCGTTATTCTAAATATGTGTTTCTTGTCAAAAAAGCTGAATTGAAAACGCCTTTTATCATTTCATTACAAGTCTTCTGTATTATTACAAACATTAATTTCTCGTGCCTTCTAACTCGATATGATTCAGTTAAAAGTGAACTTCCAAGACATTTTATAAATACCTCGAGTAGGTTGTTTATTTTCAACTGTTTTGGTAGTTTTAGCTCGTTTGCTAACTGGTTCAGTTGGACTAGTTGTTTCCGGTGGTGAAATAGTGGTTGTTTTTTGATTCGGTCGTTTTCTAGTAACACGTTTTGTTTTCACAGGAGAAGATATTATAACAATAAGTTCTGGTTCACGTACAGGTGAACATTTTTTCCCATGTCGTTTAGAACGTTTTAATATCTTCTTTTTTGATTCTGTGGTTGCCATGACATGTATATCATTCGTGATTGGTTGTTCATCATCAGGTATAGATTTTTGAGGTTGATTATGAATTGGTGATTCAATCTATATTATAGAGAAAAATGTTTAACAAAAAAGTGAAAACAAAAAAACGTTCAGTGAACGAACTATATCTTCTGAACTATCATCATTTTTTATTAATGTCGTATGTTTTTTCTTTTTTGACATTGTAATTTTCTTTTTTGTTTTTGTAATTTTTTTAATCTCGTCTTCTGTATCTTCTTCACGTTCATTATCAGATGGAGTTTGTTTAGTAGTATGAATAATAGGAACTTCTTCTTTTACTCGTTGTTGATCTTCTTCTAATTTTTCTTTTGCTGCTAAACGTGCATCTGTTGATGGTGTAAATTGAAAACGTACATTACGTCTTAAATGCATTATAGCTTTACTATGTAATGGTGTAACTTCATGTTGTTCTTGTTTTTCCTCTTCAAGTATAAGTTTCGACGATGTTTCAACAATTGGACTTGTTTGTTGTGTATTTGAACGTTGAATAGAAATAACAACGGGAGTTGTTTGACAACTTGATGATGATGATGATGGACGTTTAGTGATTGGTGTTGTTTGACAACTTGATGATGACAAACGTTTGACGATTGGAGTTGTTTGTTGTTCGATTGTTTGAAAATGACGATGTGATACAATTGGTGTCGTTTGAATACCAATATCAATAAGACTTGGTCGACGTTCAGGTGAAGTTTGCACACTTTCATGAGATATACATCGATCTGATAAAGAAAAGAAAATAATAAATGGAAGAAAAAAGGATCCTGTCGGATAACTAGACCACCATTCAGTTGACAAGATATCTATACAATTTAGTACATCAACTCGTGGCACATCAAGTGGTTTATAGGAAATTCCTTTTTCTGATCAAAATTAAATATTCAATCAAGTCATATAGCATGATCTCCACGCGGGTATATCTAATAATACACTTTAACTAGAAAAATTTTCTAATTATTAATAATAACTTTATCATACTGTATCAATCTTTCGAAAATAGCCAAAAATATTTTCGCTTGAAACCACTGATGGGATACGGGAATATATAAAATGTTTAGGTATGATCGGAGACGAAGCATATAATGAATCTAATAGAACATCATACCGTAATAAAAAGCGGCTACTCACACTGTCAATTCATAAGGTAAAAACTTAAATAAAAATAGTCTTTGTAATATCGTTTTCTCATAATCTCCTGTGGAGATGACAAAAGAAGTATTTTTTCCTTTTTTTTCGAAAGACTCAGGTGAAATGATAGAATATCATGAAATTATTTATTTTTCTCTTCCTAGAAATCGAAAAATGGACCGCTTTGATGATGACTCACAACTACAAGAATAATTACACAATCGGTCACCTTTGCTTCAAGAAACAGTATAGAAGAACTAAAGACAATCGAAAAAAATAAAAAAACGCCAGAAGTTCAGAAGACTACTGTGCAATAAATGGGGATCATCTTATTCAACAGAGTTCTTTAAGATCGTCATTTTACTTTCGATATGCATATCAACTTGTTGTTCTTTATCAAACATTTCAATTTCATTTGTAGATAAATTCATATTAAATTGTTGTGGAGCAGTTGTTAAAAGTTGTTCTTCTTCACCGATAGAAACCATTTGTAAAGATTTATTTCTAATAGATGGTGTTGATGATTGCAATGGCTTAATACTACGTCGTGGTGATGAACTGGATGATAAACGTTCACTTTTTCGAATAGTTATCATTGGTGATGGTGATGCTGAAGGCGCTAAAGATTTTTGTAATATAATTGGTGGTCCTTCACTAATAATAGTTGGATTTGTTGATAATATTGATAACATTGGTTTTAATGATGATGATGGAAATGAACAAAGACTTGCATTTTCTGATGAAAGATCTTTTTCTTCTTCAGTTATTGTTGTTTGTTGTTCTGGAATTCGAGGAATAACAGAATGAACTAAACGTGTATTACTTCGACGATTTGTTATTATTGAACGACGACGTTCTGATGAACGTGTTGCTCTTATTGTTGGAGTATTGTAACTATATTCACGAGATAAAACGGGCATTTTTGGATTATTTAGTGTTGACATGTCGTGTTGATATGAAAAATATGATGATGATGACGATGCACTACAATCAGCTTCTTCAGCACTACTTGGTGAGATCGGATTTGAATCCTTCGATGCTGTAAGATTGAGAGTAATTCCAGCAGCTGGTTCATGTTCAATTTCATCTTCTTCAGGTAAACTAACAACTTCCACAAGTTCAGTATTTGGATAATCATAAGTAGTTTTTGGTTCAGTAGAAAAACTTTCACTATCTGTTTCAGGATCTATAAAATACAAAATTACAATGATTTAGAATTGAATCAAACATATCAATATGCATTACGAAATATCGCACAAGTGACTACACTTTTACTTCGACACATATTTGATGCAATGTCTCATAAAACTAAATACGTTCGAGTTTTCTCAAAATACACTCAACTATTTAACATCTTCCAACATGTTAAACACAAGATACAGTTCCGTACTACAAATATACATCGTCAATTAATACTTTTGCACATCATACTCAAATGCACCGGTTTCAAGAAAAACTAGAACCGTGAAGCTACTTTTAAAATTACTTCAAACAGAACCTGTTCATTGATCAAATGGATACAAAAATTCCTATACTTCTCTCCACAAGTCTTCATTCTTGATATTAAATATTTCCCGATATACGTATAATATTGTTCTGAGTATAGATGCTAGCATAACTGACATTTTAATTCTTAAAAAAATCACTAATGGAAACTTTTGAAAAAAAAAGAATTAAAACCTTGCATCACAGAAGTATGTGATATTTTTTTTTAAAGAAGTTCCATAGTTAATAAACGTACTTGATTGATTAACTTCTTCAGTAGTAGAATTTTCGGAAATGGGAGTTGTTGAAACTCGAGAAACACTTGAACGAAGTACACGTGATGTTCGCATCGGAACAGATGCACATGCTGGTAAATTGTTTTGATCTAAAATAATTTTTTTGGTTTCTAAATTTTTCAGAATATCTTTCGGTTTTTGTTTTACTTGTTTTTGCTAATGGTGATTCTGTTTTAACTGGTTGTGATAATCGTCCGCTCATTCGAGCTTTAATTAATGCACGAAAAGCAACATCAGCACTTGTTGGTGCACGTATTGTTATCATTGGTGGTTGAATTATTTCATCATTTGTTAATTCATCTGTTTTTTCTTTTGAATTATTTTGAAAATCATTTAATTCAAATGAAAAATTACTATCTTCTTCTGTATTTGAATCATCTTTAGGTGTATCTTGTTTTTCATCATCTTCATCTGTAAAATGAAATGATTCTTCTGTTGTATTTGAATTATTATTATGATATGATTCTTGATTAATAACTGTTCCAGCCATTGATGATGGTTCTTCAATATCACTATTATCAACCATAAATGGTGGTGGAATTGTTGAATTCATACTTGGATCTGTTATACTTTCAATTGTTGGCATAAGAAGAATATTTTGTGATGATGGTAAACTTCCACCACCTTGTGGTGCATAACTTATATGTAATGATGCTGTTGTTTGATTAATTAATTCAGTTGGTGTTACCATTGTTAATGAAAGTGATTCATGATTACTTTTTGGTGATTCTTGTGTTGTTGTTATCATTGTCATATTTGGATTTATTGAACCAAGACCTAAGAGATGTTCAAGTGCACGAAATGATTCATCAGATGGTTCACTTAGATGACGTATTGGAACTGTTGAAGTTTCTCTAAAATGAAAATTTTAAATGTTATCAAACCGTATGAACAACTTCTTTATTATTGTTGATACTGAATAGGACAATGTTCTAAACCTGATATATAATCCTTGCAGAGTGAGTATTTTTCATCCGACAGAGAAATATGTGATTTCTTTACCTGAGAAAAACTTGATTTTCTACTGAATACAGCTTAAGCATCTCTCAAATCCGAAGAGACTGATCTTACCTGAAAACTCAGTGTAAGAGCGGCTTACACGATATACACGTGCGAAATTTTTTTCTCAGAACACTAAAATCTCGTAACACCCAAAAAAAAATTGAACGTACTGTGTTGATGTCATTATTGTATCAAAATCATTTTCTTTTTCTGATTCATTTAATGTTGATGGAATATTAATTGATGGTTGTTGTTCAATTGTAAATGTTGATGATTTACGCATTAATGATGGCCTATTTGAAAGTGTTTCTTTTTCAATAATTTCATCTTCTATTTCTGGACTATTACTTTCAATTGTTGGTAATGTTGAACGTGTTAATTCATTATGATGATGATGATGACAAGGTGATTGAATTGAATTTCGTTGTTGTTCTTGTATAATAGATATAATATTTTGTTCAGTTGTATTTTGTTGTTCATTATTATCATCAACTATTGTTTGTTCAGTATACCAAACTGGTTGAAGACTTTGTTGCCGACTAGAATTATTCTCTGTTGTTGTTGTTGTTGTTGGAGCAACACTAGTATCTATAGGTATTTCATCAGGTGCAAGAAGTTTTAATGGTGTACGAGTTTGTTGAAATTTTGGAAAACTTTCTTTTATTTCAAGATATGATAATGATTGTATTGTTGGTGCTGAAGCCATACGATCAGCCTGTTCAATAGGTCCAAGACTTAGATCACTAAAATTATTAACAAAAAAAATTTTTAAATTAAAAATAGAAAAAAATATATATAGAACTAACCAAACATATGGACTTGTTGATGATAAATGTACAAGCATTTTGAATAATAGATGAAATTAATTAAAGGAAATAATTGATTAATATCATGAAATTATTCTAGAAAATAAGAAAAAAAAAGTACAAAAAGCATTGTGACTGAATTGAACAATATTATAGAACGATCGGTCAGTGAAATAATGATCGAATCATTGTCCTAATGATGTTAACGAACGACCTTTGTGTGTTCCCGGCGAGACATTCTACCAATGAAATTATAGATAATCGTTTTTTTTCTTTTTCGTTATGTAAAATGATGTCGCTATTGTCGAGATTTTTTGATTGATCTTTATATTTTAATTTGTATCAAAGATTATTGTTAGAGAAGTTCTTTGTTTTTCTGTTTAGATATTATGACGTTTGAAAAATAACTTCAATTTTCAAAATATTGAAATTTAAAAGCTCGAATTTTATATGTTAAACATGAGTGTTGAAACAATATAAAAATTGCTTAGTAATAACAAAAAAAAAATTTGTACGATGAATATTATAAAATGAAATACTTTCTATACGTACCATTAAAATAAACTTAATTAGATTTCTTTTTTAATTAGGCTAATGTTTATTTTCACTATTTATATTTTAATGTGTATATGAAATACTTCTGCGTTAACATAATAAAATGATATTCGAAAAATATTTTTATGAACAAGCTATTCAACATATCATTCTACTATAGAGAATATATTAGTTGAAAAGTTCTTCTCCTTCATGGTTCTTTTTTATTGGAACATAACTTAACAACATAATATATTCGATAGTTTGAATCGTATCTATAAGCCAAGCTAAATTTGCAGATGAATCAATATAATTTTAAAGATTGTTTTTTGATAGGGTAGTACGAAGACAAAGTACATCTAGAATGAATATTGGCTTGTCGACGTAACGCATTACTTCAGGCATTAAGTATTTATTTCAAAATTCGAAATGAACTTTTCTGCACTGTTGTCGAGCACACTTGAAAGTGTAGTAAAATATATTTTATTATTCGAAAAAATCTATACTTTAAACTTTAATTATCGTATTGTCTGTTGCAATTTTTTCTATCTTACTTTAAAACTAACCGTGCAGCTTGATGTTTAGTTCCGAACCTACGCTTTCAAATATTTTGTAAAATATCAACTAAGGCTTTTCTTTTGGCAAACTAAAAATATTGCACCTTGAGGCAGATGAACGTAATACTGTTACGAAAACTTAATTTTTGGTACTATCTTCAGTTTGTATTATTGAGCAATAATTCCAATATTACAAACGTCAGGTAGCAACTGGATGAATTACTTATCTTGTAACAAATCTTTCTAAAAAAACCGTAATTTTTGTTTCATTTCCGATGTTTCTGGCTATGATTAACTTTTTAGCCATAGTAACTCGTACTTATCGAAGGAACTTTTCGAAGTGCCTAATCGTTTGTGATTTCGGACTTAGGTGTGTTTTTCATCTATAGCAGAAGTATACTTGACTGATGCAGGAAACANGATGGTCTTCTCAATAATGACAATTTTTTCGATAACTCAGCCATTTCTTGACGGATCCTGCTCATCTTCGAACTCGACCGAGACATTGTTAAGACTGAACTGTGTAGAAAATTTCATCGCGATTGGACTCTCCTTTCAAAAGTTATCGTGTTAACGGCCGGACGGACACACTGACCGATTCTAGAGTGTACTCACTTTTTGAGTACACAAAAAGGCTTTCGGAATTTATATCAAGTTCAACTCCATCGGAGTCGTATGTAGGTTTCGATTCACCAATCATGCAATGACGTTGGTCTCAATTCCAAGAGCTTAATTTTTAGTAGTTTCGATCTAGAGAAAACTATCTCAGAATTTATTCGTATTACATCTAAAACAAACTATTCAATACTCATGATTTGGTTTCGCTAGTCTACGATTAGCATTTTTTTTTTGTCGTATCTCTCTTGAATCATGTTCTGATCGATACGATTTATAAGATAATTTGCTTTAAACGATATCATATTTACCTAGAATCTTTAGTTCGGATCGCACACATCTCTATTAGTGACATATAGTCTGCTCTTGTGGTTAGTTAAAGTGTATTAGAAAATCAATCAATTGAATGCAAAAGTTATGCCAACCTTTGATTTAGAATTAGGAAATATATCTGTCTATGCAATCTACTTTTTAAATTGTAGCGGGTTTTTCTACGACAAATGATATTATTATTTCAACTGATAGTCTTGATGAAAAACTTGATATATCAATTGAAGGACTTCGAAATAAAGAGTAAATATATTCATTATTGAATACATATAATATCTATTTATTATTTTATTTTTTTAGTTTAAAAACCCGTGAAAATTCATTACGTACATTACAGACATTATTTTCTCAAAAATATATATACGATCTCGTATCTAGCCGGTAAAATATAAAAATAATTATTTTTTAATTTTAATTTATTTATATATGTATATATATATAGAAGTGAAAATTTAATTGAACAATTAGTAACATGTTTAAGAAAAAGTAATGAATCTGAAGGACAATTAGCAGCTATTGTTACATCATTATTTATAATTCAACTTGGTGAATCAAATGATGAATTATTTATAAAATTTCGTGATGCTATTATACCAATATTACGAGATGAATCAAAATCTTCATCATTAAGAAAGAATGTATGTTTATTTAAATATAAATTTAATTAAAAATTTTTCTTTTATTATTATAGTATGCTAAAGCAATAGGTATTATTTGTTTTGTTGCTTGTGAAGATATTTCAGTAAGTATATAAATTAAATTATTCGTTTTTTTTTCAAAATTTAATATTTCTCTTTTAAAGGCAACTGTTGAATTAATGAAAACATTAGAAACAATTTTTTCTCGATCATATTTACATGGTGATGGTACAGTACCTATTATAAATCATGATTTACAAGAATTACATACAGCTGCACTTGCATCTTGGTGTCTTCTCATATCAACTATGCCAAATAATATAACACATGAATTGATACGAACGTAAGTTTTATAATTTATTTATTGAAATAAAATATAATCGAACTAGTGGATAGAGAATGTAAGTCATGTATAAGAAAGTTCGAAATCTTAACTTTAATCTTCAATAGAAAGATTCTATATATATGCATAATTAACCTATTTAGCAGATAAACATCTTTACATAATGATAATTTTTTTTTAAATAAAGATTCCATTGAAGCTTCAACTAGGCCATAAATTTCTGCATCTTTGGATGTATATTTCGAGATTTTAAAAGAAATATTTGAGGCCTGATAAATCTATGCCATTGTTATTTTCTAACATGAAACAATACACATAATTTCTTTGTTTAGAAATAAAATTCTACATCTTATGGCATAATAATAAATCTTGCATAGAGTAAATTTAGTTTTTTGAAAGCATGATGTTCGACACTGTATGTCCAATATTTATAAGTGTTAGTTCTCAGTCTTTCTCCCTGAGCAACAGCATCAGGAACCTTGAAAACGTAGAATTTGATAAGCAAAGATATACATAAATTAATAAATGTTAAATTTTACATTTAAAAAGAAAGCTTATTTGAAAAACAAAATTGACAGTTTTGTAGACCTTGACATTCTCTATTTTTCAGCATAAGAGAAAAGTTTTTGACGATTAATAAACGAGAGAAAAGGGCACTGAGATTTAATGTAATTTATCCGTGAACACCTATAATTAACAAGTAACAATCATCGAGAATCGATTCATTTGATCCTAAACTGACGGAGTACATTTTTATATAGAATTACATATAAAAAACAGTGATAGTTAAGTAAAACAATGACTAAATAGAAAAATAATAATAATAAAAGAAGCTTGGACCTAGCCGTTCTACAGAAAAACTTTCAGAATTCCCATGAGAAATTTTTTTTTGACCTTTTCTAACATAAGATTGGCACTTTCGTCTATGAATCAAAGGACTTATAAGAACAACAAACCTGTTTTACGTCTATTCATTCTCATCCTTTATGCCACATCTGAATATGTGGTACTTTGTACCATATCAATAATGTGATATGTGTGTTACAGACAGATACAGGTACATTTTCGTTTCTAGACTCTATTCTTTCAGTCTAGGGAACTCAACTATGCATTCATAGGAAAGAAAACTTTTTCTTGAGACAATGGCGAATTTTCGATTCAACCATGAGCTAAATCAATAGATCAAACTCTTGATGATTTCCACTCTTAGGCCGTAGCGGCTAGATGAAAGATTATTGAGTAAATTTCTATACGCACTTAGGACAACGAGCATCAGAATCATCTCCCATAATTTCTTATCAACTGAAACAGTACTGAATGGTATTTACAACATAACTTAGACACTTATAGAACATTCTAAAGCATTCGTTGAAATTTAAATAATTGAAATACATTTTTTAATATTCAAAATAATGATTGATTAATTAGTCACAGTGGTTACATAATCAATACAAAGACATAAACTAATAAATTTTTTTAACTTTCAGGAATAATAAATATCAATGTTTCTGAATTTGTCGAGATAAGAATATCCCCTTAAGATCTGTTGTAGATATAATAAAATGTTTACAACAATCTTATTTGTCAGCTAAAGCAATGGTAAACAGAATAATTATAATAATCTTATGAAAAAATGAAATACAAAAACAAACAGAAAAAAAAATACTGTTCAAAAATGCAAATAGAGTATTTTTCAGGCAATCGATTATTTTACATTATATCGAATATTTTAGATATGCACCAGCAAAAATTCCCGGTCTTATTGAATCTAATAATTCTGATTTACGTAATCAAGCAGGTGAAACAGTTGCTGTTTTATATGAAATAGCACGTGAAATAAATAGTGTATGTATAATTAAAAAAACAAACAACACATATAAATCGTATCTATTAATTTTGCTTTAGGTATTTGCTGAACCACCTGAATCATTATTAATAACATTAGAAAAAAAAGCAAATGAAAGTGCAAAATATAAAGGAAAAAAAGAAAAACGTGTACAACACGCTACATTTAGAGAAATTTATAATTCATTTGAAGTATAATTTTAATAATTATACGTTTCTATATTAATTCAATGTTTATTTTTACTTTTTAGGAAGGTACATCACCAGAATTTGATATTAAATTTGGTCGTGAAATATTAGAAATAACTTCATGGACAAGTAGACTATATTATAATACATTCAGTAATTTATTAGCTGCTGGAATGAATGTTCATTTGAAAGTAAGCTAATCAGAGAATCTCTCCTAGTGTGAAATCGCTTTTGAATCAGGATGATATTCATTTGATGAGTAATAGAAAAATCTAGAATGATTTCGTTTTTTTTTCAACCACATGTTTTGGTCACAGGGAAAATTCACTTTCGACTTCAAATATTGTACGAACAAAGTTCTCAATGAGATTAGTTAATTGTGCAACTAACAGTGGTCCAAAAATATAATGATCATGGATATTTGAAAAGAGAAGACCCGGGACTATGGGTCAACTAGATGAGTTCTGGGTGAAGATTTTTGAAAAAAAAAATAATGAAACTATTTTCCTTTCAGTTTAGACTTTTATTAAGACTAGTAGTTAGGAATGTCGGTCCTGTGCGTAGATCAAAATAGAAGAATTTTTTCTATCCATCAGTCTTAATAAAAGTCTCACTTGAAAGACTAATCACTTCGAAAAATCTTCGCCAAGAACTCATCTGATTGACCAATCAAATTTGGGTGTACTTTCATGATCCTCGGATCTTTTCTCTTGAATAGTAAAAACCGTAACTCTCCAGCTTTTTCCGTTCTTGAGTTATTACATAAATATTCATGATCATTATGTTTTTTTGGACGGATGTTAATTGCACAAACAATTAATCTCATTGAGAACTTTATATATGCAAAATTTGAAGTTGAAAATCGATTTTTCATGTGCCCAAAGCTTTTTGTTGAAAACCTAAATAACATTTCCATATCTCAAAAACAAACGCTCGAAAAATCAAATCAGCTTAGACTTTTTCTCTTATCTATTCTTAGACATATAATATAAAACTTTTTTTTTTATTTAACATAAANATCTTCGCCAAGAATTCATCTGATTAACCAATCAAATTTGGGTGTACTTTCATGACCCTCGGATCTTTTCTCTTGAATAGTAAAAACCGTAACTCTCCAGCTTTTTCCGTTCTTGAGTTATTACATAAATATTCATGATCATTATATTTTTTTGGACGGATGTTAATTGCACAAATAATTAATCTCATTGAGAACTTTATATATGCAAAATTTGAAGTTGAAAATCGATTTTTCATGTGATCAAAGCTTTTTGTTGAAAACCTAAATAACATTTCCATATCTCAAAAACGAACGCTCGAAAAATCAAATCAGCTTAGACTTTTTCTCTTATCTATTCTTATACATATAATATAAAACTTTTTTTTTTATTTAACATAAAAGGAAAATGGTTTTCTTCGTTCCGTATTCAATTTGGATGATTTAGAAATTGACGACATGCAACAATCGAAAAGCAATCGATTCGAACGGGTAAAAATTTTATTTCAAAAAAACAAAAACCTTAAATTTCCTCTGTTTATTTCCTTTTTTTTCAGCATTTAGCCAAAAAAGCTGCCTTCAAAGTTCGTACTCAAGCACTGAAAAAAACTCGTGCTAATAAAGCTATACGTAGTCAATATGAAGATTAAATGGTGAAGAAAATAGTGATTTATTTCGGATGTACTATTCTTTTACTGATATATTTCTGCTATGTATTTCAAACATGCTCTCTATCTACATTTAGTAGTTTTTCGTGATAAAAAACCTAGATATTTTTAATCAGGTTTTTATCATTCTAAATCTCCTTCTATTTTTTGTTTTGAATAAAGCTAGCATGAATATATATATCTAGTAATGTTTGTTTGTTTGTTTTTTCTTTTATTTAAAAATGAAAATCGAATAATGATCGTAGTACATGTTCGAAATAAACATCATCTTTCACTGTAGCACTGAGCATTGAACAAAAACCAAGAAATTCTTCTTTATTGATTATACCATCTTCTTGACCACGAGTATCAAATTTATTTAGAAAATTATGAAGAGCCTAAAAAAAAATGGAAAATATATTTATGAATATTTTATTTTTTTTATTCTAGATTATATTTATCATTTGATATGTTACGTATGTTTTTGTATTACTAATCTGTTAGAGTTCTAACAAAATAATATTTGATTGATTTTTAAAAAAACAACATAAATGCACAAATTGATAATTTTAATAGATGTTTTCCTTGATTGTTCTCAAGAACATTTTGGTAGTTTTTTTCTTAAAATGAGATATCAAATTCAAATATAGTTAAAAGAAAGCGATTTGTTTTTTTGAGTTCTTTCAATGTATGTTAATTTGATATGTCTTATAGTTTTAGTGGCACGATTATTAACATATTATCAACAACTGAAAATAGTCTCAAGTATTTTTAGATCAATCGAGATAGAAGTTTACAATTTCTCTAAGTAGAATAACGAAATTTTTTCCTAGTTTTTTTAAAGCAAAAGGAGATTCAGTCGTTGCTCCTAAATACATGCATGAATTATTTTGTTAATATTCTCAGAAAATTAATTAATTTATAGATCTTATGCGGCAAGTTATTCAACTAAATAATCACTTTTGAGTTACGATTAGAGTTCGTTCTGTTCAAAAATTTTGGACTCAGACCAACCGAACGAATCCTAGTCATAACTATATGCATCTGATAGATTCTTGTAAGCTGTTACTGCCGTCATAGTTGACTAGTTACATTGTTCAACACGAATCCACAAGGTATTGTATTCAAATCTCGGTATCAAAAGCCATGGAAAGGAGCCTGGGCAACTTACTAACGACTGTTTGTCTTGGATCACGTTATGACCTACATCTACTCTTATGACTAATTAATGTGTATGAGAAGACCTGTAACAATTGAGCGTAAGAACTATGTGTCAGTTGACCAGAGCTACAGCTAGTATTAGTTCTAGAAAAGTTAACAATAAAATTATTGAATTCAGGACCAATCTAACGGATTTGCCGACAAATTCTATCTTCTTATTTCAGGATAGAAGTAAAATCATACGATTTGAAACTTTAATAATAAATTATTTTCGTTAAGACCTTTTTGCTATCGTAATTTTCAAACCAATATTCGAAAATCAGTTTCTCTAATGTTCCTGAGATGGACTATTGTATTAAGTTAAAAATAACATATTGTAACAATAAATAAAGGTGTTAAACTTGTTTCATGATATTAATAGTTTACGACAGTCCTGCATTATTCACATAGTTCATGACTCAAAGATGATTCATCGATTGAGAAACTTTTCTTGTTAGTTTTTATTTTGTAAATAATTCATAGTAATATATTGTTAAATATCCTTACATGATCAATACTTTGACTTGATCTTCTTTTAGTAGGTTTAAGTTGAGTAGCATATTTCATCTAAAATTTTCATAAATCTTTTTTTTTTCTTTGTTTGAAACAAATTCGAAGAAAAGAAAAAGAATGACTAATACTTTAAGATCTGTAATTGTTAATGTTCCATCTTTATCAAGATCCATTGAATTAAATACATTTAAAGCAGCTCTTTGACGTCGTTCATTCATTGGTGGTCTTAATTGTTGAAGAAATTCCGATAGATCAATTTGACCATTTTTAGTTAAGTCAAATTGATGAAAAAGTTGTTTTATTTCATCATCATTATTAATACCAAGTCTAAGAGCTTTGATAGCTGCTCGAAATTCTTCAAATGTTATACGACCAGAATGATCTAATTATAATTGCAAAAAGAAAATGAAAAAAAAAAAATTTCTTCATAATAACTAAAACCTTGATCAATAGCTGAAAATATTTCAATAAGATCTGATTGTTTAGTTACACTTCGAAGTAAACATTGACGAAGTTTTTCCATAGTTTTCTTCAAAATAAAAATAGAAATAACAGGAAATATTTAAGTTCTATTAATAATTCATTTACATACCTGCACACTTTTTTTTCTTTTTTCTATTAATTTAGTTTTTACGTTATTTTTCTATTATATAGATAGACTTATCATAAATATAGACGAATGCGAATAGAATAAGATAACAGTTTTATTTTGGGAATTTACATCATATATATATATATACGTGTGCTTATTAATAATTTATTTTCCCTCTTTTTTTCTTCTTCTTTATGACAACAACTGTTGGCTAATATCAGACTGACAGATCTCTAATTCATATGAAGATAAAATTGTTAAGTATTACTGGGATTATCAATTCATATTCATTATAAACTACGGAAAGAAAATAGCAAAACTCATGTGTGGACATAAAATAAAATAGATCTAATCAACATATTAATATATAATGACATAAACAAAACAAAAAAAAAGAACAGTGCGTAATTTTCATATGTCAATCATCATTAATGATTCATTGGTATTTGTTCGACTATGTAATAAGGCATGTTGTCGAAGGCGTATTTGAAGAATTTTAGCTCTAAGAAAATTTCGTTGTTGTATTTCATTGATTAAACTTGGTCGTAATCGATAATTGACTTCAGAAGATTGTTCATATTTTTTCATTAATGTTTGTTTCATTTCGTCTTTATATGTCACTGGTAATCGAATCAAATTCGGTTGGCTAGTCTGATAAGAGATTAGATTAGAATGAGAAAGTGGAATTAATTGTTGACATTTATGATCATTTTCAATATTATGCTTATTTTCTTTATGTAAGAGATTTATACGTTGACGTGAATAAGCAATAATTTCTGGATGAAGAAGTTCATGTGCTTGTTGAATAGTTATGGCTTGATTATGATGAGGACAAAGTGATGTTTGTTTTGAATAATTCGTAGGATTTTCAAGTACTGTTATATGATTACGATCAGTATGTAAACATGAAAGAAGATCTTCACATCGACGTGCTAATTCCGATAATTTATCATTGATACTAGTGGATTTTTTTTGTTGATAGGAAGAAATATGATTGTTTGATTGAATATCATTCTTATTTTCTGGAATATTAAATCGTACTCGATGATTATTATTACCAACAATAGAATGATTAGAATAAATTGATTGATTGAGTATAGATTTCTTGTCTTGTTCTTTTAATATTGTTTTATTGAATTTTTTATTATTTTGTTTATAAGAATAATGATTATTGATTTTAGTTGTATTTTTATTATCGAAAGAAACAAAATATTTTATTGATTCTTGTGGTTTCAATTTTTTATTAATAGTATTTGAAGAAATTGAAATTTGTTTATCATCTTGTTGTAGTGTTTGATATATTTCACGTAAAATATGTTGAGCTTTTTTACGTTCATCACGTGTATAACATATTAATTCTTGTATACATTGTTCATTACGTTTACAATTACGTACTATTTCTTTAAGAGTATCAATAGAAAGAGATGTAGACAATTGATCAATACTACGTATAGTTTCATTCATATTGTTTGAAGGACTTGGTCTTCTATTGAAACATAACTCTTATGAAGAACACATTAAACTGATGAAGAGTAGTGAGAAAAAAAAAAAGAAACGAAGAAAGAACGACAATCGTTTATATACCCATGGCAACAATCAATGATGCATATGTTTCATCTTCTACCATTATTTCTTTGCTTTCTTTCATCTCCATTTCATATCTTAAATCATGTAATAAAGAAAAATGCGTAGCTTTCTAATTGCGGCCAAAAATTAAGCCAATTAACACATAAGTGGCCACAATTTGGAATACAGAATTTTACGTTGATCTCATTTTTTATGTGTTTCCAAATTGTGGCTACTTTTTAGTTATCAAGTAATCAATAGTTTTTGAATTGAAAACATAAATAACAAAAAAAAAATTATTCTTCATCACTACTATCTTTAGCATCTTTTATCACATGAATATAGCAATGAGAAACAGCTCGTAAAGTTTTTTGATAAGCGTCGAAATCTTCATCTTGAATATATTTTTGTTTTTTACTAACATAAGTTTATTATCATCTTGTGTATATTTTGCTTTTCTTGGTCTTGTTGTTCGTTTTTGTGGTGTTGTTCTTGTTGATAACGACAAAAATTAATGAACCGTTCTGATTTTCATGTTTTAATCGATATAAGTAATTCTTATATATAATGGCTTTTTCACCTTTTTCGATTGTTGACCAAGTAAAGTTTGTATTCATAGTTTGATATGTAGTATGATTTTATGTCATACATATTATATCGGGTGTCCCAGGAATAATGAGCCTCCCAGTATTTTTAAGATTTCCTGTCTATTATCACTGTAAGTAAAGCTGTCTTAATTATCAAAAGAAAGCGCTTAAANTTATTTAAAAAAAAATATATATATTACATACGCTGATTCTTTCGAAAATGCTTCACTAAATTGTGGAGCAAGATTGTACGACCATGATGTATATAAATAAAAATCTATGAAGAAAAATTATTGTAATTAAACGAATATTTATTAAAGAAATAATAGCAAACCATTTAAATCATTAATATGACCAGCAAAAACTAGCGCCTCTGTGCCAATAACAAAATTTGAAGGACGAGTTGCATCAACACTATTAATTGCTATTGCTATATAATAAAATGAACATAAACGATAGCTCATTATTTAATCGAAAATATCTGTAACCAATTAAAATTCATAATAGTAAAAAAACATTCTGAAGAACAGAAAACAACCTATTCGAAATTATCCACTAAATCGTTTGTTTTCCTTTCTTTTTCTTCTTATCGATCGGTCTAATAAATAATTCAATAAATAAAAAAATAATAATATATTATTTTTCAGGAGTCGTTTCATTAATGGTTTTATCTAAGACAAACAATCAAATAACTATTCAAAACAATACTTATATTTTTCCGAATACTTAAGAAACCATAAGTTTATATACATAACTAAAAAAATTCCAGTGTAAAATCGATTCTTCTATTAGTAAAATGGTTGTTTCGTATCTTTACGTCTCAATGCTTCATTGATTCTGCTAGCAACTTTTTTTTGTTTGAAGTTCTCTGCTTTGCATTTCTTTTTCAATTCCGAACTAGTTTCTCCTACGGCATAATAGAATAGAAGTTGATTGAAACACATTATTTTGAAACAATTTACTTTTAAGGCACAATTATATTTTGATTATTTTTTTTATCAATAGCACCTTATTCGGTTTCTTCGTTCTTATATATCCTAAAAAATACTCATTTTCAAAATAATATTCTTCACTATGTTAATATTTTTATTCCGCAAAAATCAATTTTATTTAAAAAAATGAACAATCATGTAAACCATGACCGCATATCTCTATGAAAAAAATAGTCTTTGATATGTTTTTCAAATTGAACATTATATTTACTATAGCAATAAATTATTTTTGAACAATTGAATCGTGTTACATCTCGCGTAAAATTGTCTGTCACTTTTTCAAGTAATTCACGATCGACAAAAAGATACACATTATTTAGTAAGCATGTTTTTGTATGAAGTAAAAATTCTTCAAGATAATTTTCGTGAGCTCGAAAAAACCGAAGTTCAGTAAGATGATAGTAGTTAATAATTGATAAATTTTCATCATCACTTTTTGATTTTCTACGTCGTTTATTCATTTGCGCGTTACGATTAGTTATAGTTAACTTTTTCATAAATGGAAATGATTGAGCAATTTGAAGAAAAAATTCATGTTCAAATGGACGTTCATCAAATAATGATACTTCATAAACACATTTAAATAATCCATCTGGAAAATTATTTGTTATTTTATTGTAACATTTCCATTCATATGGATATAAATATGACATTGATTATAGCTGCTTTTTTGAAAATCATCAACACAAGAAATAATTTGATTATATTTAAAATCTTTGAAGGATTGTTGAATATCTTCATTTGATGGCAAATCACTTTGATTATAACAACCATCGTATTCATAGTTAACAGTTCAAGATATAGCCATTGAATTTTATGATGAATTTGAGGTAAAATTTGTGAACAAAATCGATGAAACATTGGATAAGTTAATGAGCAAATACAACCATCTACAGAATAGTCCATCAGCGTCAACACACTAGTAAAAGTTGGACTATGTAAAACTTTATTTAATCGTTTATTAACACCTATTAAAGAGTAAAGTGCTTCGACATTGAGCAGTTGTTTAAAAATAATCATAAGGATTTCATCAGGTAGATCAGCTAATTGAACACATGAATATTCGATTTTCATCTTTTTTTTTCTATACTGTGTTTAACTTATAAATGTCAATATATATATACTCATTTGTTGTATTTGATGGACATCGTCAATGAAAATAGTGGTGCACTTTTTTTCTAGTCTAAATTCATAATGAATGAATGGACGAGTAGCATTTTGTTTCACTTTTATTCTCGGTCAACATATCTAATATAATGATCATTTTGAACTATTGATTGCTCTTTGTATTCAAATAACAAGAGAATGCCGAAAAAACGAAAGCAATGCTGATGATATTTTGGATTAATTTAAATAAACTTTTCGTAATTAATCGCAACTTTATTACACGAATAACAAAGTGTCAGTAGTGTAGAAGCCGTAAAGTTGATTCAACTATTAAACTTTCAACTTTCAACTAGGACAGTATATGCAAAAGAATATTCTTGCAAGGCTGAGGATGTGCATAATACGAAACACTTTTCGTGGGATCCATCCATACGAAGTTGAAATTGATCTGTTGAAAGAAGCTGCGTCGTAGTTTGAATCAACATGAAAAAAAAGCCACGTAGTATGGTAACATTATTAGTAAACTATGACACAGTACACAGCAAACATGCGTCATCATATGAATAATACGCGGTGTATTTTGTCTGCAATTGATCAAGCGAGAAGGCCTTTTTTCTGTTCTCTACTGTGTAAAAACATGCCACGTATATATATCCAAGCCGATGTGTTGATTCTGCATATAGTGAAGACGACACAGAATATCGAGCTATTATTTTAAGCATTTACATTTTGACTTTTTCACACTTCAATCAAATCTTTATATGAATCAACCAAAACAACAACTTAGTCTTTTGGAACAGTACAATGAAAAAATGCAATATCTACCAGGTAGACTAATATCTCGACTCTTTTATTTAAGTACTGCTTTTTTGATTGCTTTCTTCTAGCAACAGTCAATAACGATAATAGGTTAGAGATGCAAATCTTCAGCAATCTAAAAAATAGATTTCTTTCTATTGTTCTCGAATAGCTTGTCTATTACTCGTTTTGAACATCTGTCGAACGAACTTATCTATGAAGTTTTCGAGTATCTCGACTGTCTTCATATATTAGAAGCTTTTTCTAATCAAAATATTCATTACGAACGACTTATCAATGTTTCGCCTATTCCGCTCAGACTCAATCTTTCGTCCGTCTCCAGAGTAATCGTTCAACGCTGCTATAAAAATGCAGTCGCGTCGCATTTTCATCGCATCGTTTCCCTCCATCTCAACAATCATTTTTGTCTTGAGCTCTTTCTGGCATCATTTTCCATTGGCTCAACGTTCTCTGGTCTCAAGGCTCTCATCTTAGACAACATCGAGTCTAACACAATCGTGTTTCTAATCACGAGTCTAGCTTTATTACCTAATCTCCATTCTCTGTCCATCAGTGTCATTGACTCGGTGAAAGATCAAAATCTTATCTATTGTCTGCTTTTTCGTCTGCCCATCTTGAAATATTGTAAGTTGGCATTCGAAGTGAGCCATAACTCAGCTCGATTGCCGATCGCTAAACAAGAACAACAAAGTACTATCGAGCATCTCATTATGAACCACAGCTGTAATCTCAATGAACTCACTGATCTTCTGTCGTACATGCCTCAACTTTGCCACCTATCATGCAAAAATGTAGATGGATCTTCAAGCACACCAATTGAACTACCAATGGTACCACTCAATTTGACGCATCTCTCTCTCGTTGTGCATCAAGTTCCATTTGACACATTCGAAACTTTTATAACGAAAATTTCTTCTCGCCTTCAACGACTGTATATTTCTACAATTAGTGACAATGATGATGCATACTTGAATGCAGATCGATGGCAGCAATTGATTGAATCTCGAATGCCTCAATTGCATATGTTTGACTTTCAGCACTTAACTCCTGCAGACATGGCAGAATCTCATGCTTATCATGCATTGATCGAACAATTCAATACGTCATTTTGGCTCGAACGACAATGGTACTTTGCACATAGACATTTTTTGTTTATGATGGAATATCCTTCTGTGATGTTTTATTCAACAAAACCGTACAGGTATTTAGGCAGAGATATTTGTGAATTGCACATTTTATTGTTGTTTTTCGTTGTAGACGAAACGGCTATGAATTAAATGAAGGTATGGATAACGATACATGTTCAGATCGAGAGTCTAGTTTAAATTTATCTCGCGAAATCGTTATTTGGGGTCAACAGGCTGCCAATAATTGTTTCATTAAATTTCATCGTGTTACTAGTCTTGTTTTCATGGATAGATATATTGAAGATAATCATTTGTTGCTTGACAATTTCAAACGAATGGTTCCTTTAATACAACTTACTCAATTAGTTATTGAGTGTTTCGAACTTCGTCATAACCAACTTGTCGAAATTTTACATCATGTACCAAATGTTCAGACGTTAATACTATCCAGAGTGCCACTGCTGCAAAAATCGGATGTATCCACAGAACAAGATGAAACTGTTTGTTTGACATCAAACAGTAATATTACACATGTGACTGTTCACCATGTTTGCTCACTTGAACATGTTCAAATGCTCATCAATCTTTGTCCTAACGTGCAGTGTCTCAAGATGGCCATAGCATCACATAATTTCGAGCCGATCGTGCAATTTCTATTTGGAAAAGACACAAAAAATAGTCATAATCTATTCTGGTTATGTTTGCAATTTGCAAACAATGAAGTGGTCAAAATTATAGAAGCAGTCATCGACCATGAAAAACCGTTTGAGGACTATTCGATAAAGCTTGCAAACAATTTCGTATACCTATGGTGGTAATTAGCATTCGTTTCAAAATATATCTGCTTGTTTCTATTAATTTCGAATAAATTACGAATGAAAACTACTCGAATGATCTTCATGTATTTTAGAATAAGTTGAGATCAAGAAACATCCCACTCTATTTCAAACTTGAAACTGGTAGACGTCTACATAGTGACGGAGTCACGAACTGTCGACATATCATTGAATTCAATCTGGTGTCTCGAGTCTAGTTCCACTAACACGTTCGTATAGTACGGATTTCAATTGAGAGCGGTGCTCCATGGTTCTTGAATAATGAGACATGACAACTTCGTCACTTTCGACGACATGCTGTCAAGTGCCAATAGAGCTTCTAGAAGGATGTAGGTGTGGGTGTAGGGTGTGAATATGTAGCTGTTGGTGTCGGCAAAAGAAGGATCAGACCCTTAGAACACAACCACAGCCACATTCACAGCCTAACCAAGAATAAGGATCGTAGTTGAGAAAACATTTATTTGTTGAATTATCAATTCAATTAGGTGGACTATTTTTATTGGTTCTTTTATGTAGACTATGAATTATATTTGTAGTTTATTCTATTTTTTGGAAGAACGACTAATGAAACCAACAATTAAAAAAAATGATTTCATTGACGCTATAATTGATATAATCTACAAAATAATTCGCTCAAATGCAGTAAAATATTTCAACAGTCATACTTCTAGTGTGGTCATCGATACTAGTACATTTTCAATTTTCATCATAATCCAGCCGTTTCGAGTTGGAATGGATATTATTTTAACATATCTCTAGATTCGACTAAATGTACTTACAGTCTCTACTTCTTACATTTTTATAATATTTCGTTTTTGAATTTAACCAAATGAAATCAATGATAGGTTGAAAAATTTGTGAGTAAACTTCTAATGTCTATTTGGTCTACTATATCTTATTCTAGAGATGAACATATCTCCCATAAAAAACAATACATGATAAACATTATGACAAAAGAATGACCTGACGAATAGACCACTAATAAATAATGAAAACTGTTAGACAGAAAGAAAAATTCTATCCTCCATTCATCATAGTCTAAGATAATCATATTAATATTTTATCTTGTATTGTTTTCGAATAAGAATCATTCATAGATATTTGATTTACCTAATGAAATATGATTCATCATTATAAACAAATTGACTATCGCTGATGTTTTTCATTTACTTGCGCATAGTAATGAATGATTTACTCAATTAGTACTTGATCCTTTCTATATTCGTCATCTTGGAATGACTACTATGGCTATGAAATCATATTTCGAACGTACTGTTTTTGGTAGGCGATCAAGCTCTTTCAAGAATATGTGAAAACATCTTACATCAAATTCACGATCAAGTAAATAAGCACACTGTTGAACAGCATTCAATGGAACGTATATTCTTCTGAATGTCAATTATCATAAACTTTACTCAATATCACTTGTTAATTTTCAAGAAGAAATACTTTTTCAATATTTAACAGGTATACTATTAATAATCAATTTTTATTTTAAAGAAAATCATTCAATTCTTCATGATCTTCTTATTTAAAAAATTACACATTTGAATATCGATATTCCGTATGACACATGATCACAATTATCTGAAATTTCATCAAGCATATTTATATTGGTGGTATCTTTGTGTAAATGATTAATCAATTTGAATTTTTGTCAATTATTTCCTAATCCAAATATGTCGATTTGTATTTATAAATTATCGCGAACAAGCTGTATGTTTGCAAGTTTAACTAAATTGAAAATAAATATCTTAACTTTTAATGATTGTCATTATCTTCTGGATGGATTTCTCAATTGCTTATCGAAATTAATTATTAATATCGAAAAAGTTGGATATAAAAGATTATAGATAAACAATAGAGTGAATCGAATTTCAAAGATTGCATTTTGAGAAAAAAAATACTCATTTGAAAAAAAAGACATTATTTTATTTTCTTTGTAGAAAAAGTTTCCTAAATTGAAATACTTCTCACTATCCTCGATTAATTACACACACTATTATAATGATCTAATTATTCCATTAGTTTTTCGAATCATAAATCTTTCAAAATGCTTATTATTGTTGTTAGCAGTAAGATTTGACTCGATTTTTATTGATGATATTCTTATTTATATGCTACAACTAAATAAACTTACTTTCAGTATAAATACAAATATTTTCCTCTAGAATAATATTAAAATTGATTTTGTATCAAATGAAAATATTTATCTTAGTTTAATTGGTGAAAGGATATGGACAAGTTAATTCTTATGTTCATTTTGAACCATTGAGATCCTTAATCAAATCATATGTCTATTCAATTTCATATCAATTTGAAAATTTTCTTCATCTTACCAACTCTTTTCAAGGTAGTACGTGTGACAAGATCGGATGCTTGACAATGGATGATATACATCTTTTTGAACATCAATTAATCAAAATCATGTCTCACAATTTTCCTTTTCTCGAAAAGTTGATTATAGATAATGTTCTACCACCATAAAACAAGCAATATTCATGGTCATTGATTATGTAGAACAATTCATCGTCGATAAAAGCACTCATTCACCTCGTTTATTGGATTTCTGCATCGAATTTGAATCATTTGCAACGACAACATGTCTCACTTGTGCTAAATTAAAAAGACTTCATATACATAGATGAGTTGTTTGTTCGATAGACACATGAATCCTACATTTTTTATTAACGATCGCATTTTTTTGCTTATTTAAATAAGAACTAATAAAGCATGTTCTCGCATGAAAATAAATTTATTTATGGTGAGAGAAATGTTTTCATGTTTGTTTATGCTAAATAATCTTCCATTTCAGACGAATATCGTACATATAGGCTTCTCAAGTGAATGAATTCAATCGGATCCTGCCAGATCTGACGGCCGAATTTTGACATGCAATCCAGCATTCGAATAATGATAGAAGTCATCGTACTAGGATCTCGAAGAAGTTTTCGTATGTTTCTATCGAATTTGGTTGGCAGAACATATAAAATTCTATCAGATTAATTATCTCGTAATACTCGATGAAGTTTGCGAAGTTTCTGTTTTGTTTATAGGAATTTTCAGGTTCATTTTTCTGTTCTTTTTAGACTTCTAAGTTTGTCTCTGCTTGGATCAATAAGTCATAGGCATTAGTGAATGAGATATGTATGAAATCATATATTTATATCATATATACATAGGTTTCAGTTTAATCGCATAATCATTTGAAAAATACAAATCAAGAGTAAGTTACTTAGAGATGGTCCGAATAAGTGAGCTCGACGTATAAACTCGGTATGTCGAGCTCAATTTTTCATTAGGTAAAATAAGTACAGTAACTACTAAAAGTGTTAAAGCTAATTTAGAAAAGTTCAATAATTCACGTTTTCTCTGATCATTCAAATCTGTTAGATAGTTAAGATCAGTTTTTGAATTTGATCTTACCGATCTATTCGTCCAATTTCTTAAGCATTACAACGGTTTGACTTCTTTGTTTAATAACACCAGTCTCTGGCGTTTTCTTGGTATATCCGTGGTGAAGTCATTATTAATTGACTGTCATCATAAACATCACACAATAAGTTGCTTCAAATATCTCAGTTATTAGAGCGAATAAATATGGTTAATCCATTAAAGTGTGTATGATACTCGATGTTTATAGAAGATGTTCTCCTCAGAACATTTTGTTTCATGATCCCTTTATTTTAGGTCCTACAATCTTTCATTTTTAGTAACGTGCCGGAAATTCAGAATTTAAATAGATTTTTACTTCTGTTTTTTTTCTACGGTTAGATAGAGCCGATCAAATTATATAAGAAAAAACCGATATAAAGACTCAAGAAGTCATTTTTCAACGAAATGTTTTCCAACAAAAGCTTTTCTAAAAAAAGTGCAAAATGGGTGCGGGTGGATGTGGGTTTGAGTTTGGGTTGTGTGGTCTAACAAAAAGCTTACACCCACACCCTAATCTTTTGACTAACCTGCTAGCTGCTGTTCGTTACAGAAATAATTTACCTTGTAAGACCCTTTTGTTTCGGAAAAGAGAACAAAACGCACTGTTTACTAGTGCGAATACAAAAATATTCGGAATTTAATTTCAAGTTTATTCAATAATCCATTCGACAGCATTCAAAGTGATATCTTTCACAATCTGAAAGAGCAATCGCCAGGACATTTTTCTCTTCCTCACTGTTGTTTGATAGTCGTTGTTTATTGTTGCTATTTACGGCTGTCAATGCTTTTCACTTTTTTGTTGCATGAAGGTGGAGCATGCCAGAAAATAACCATTAGAGATAAATGGCCATCGAGAAATATCAAATTCCACGTATTAATAAAAAACAATGACCTGCGAAATTGAGGTCTCCTGCAGTAATAAAAAAGGTTATGTGAATGAATTGCGATTTGTGAACAAAATTCATCTTCTAATTTTTATAAACATAAAAGTTATAATAAGGGTAGGCGTGGGCGTGGATGAAGAGGGCACTAACACTCACACCCACACCCTTGTCTCTCCCATCAGCCATACATATAATAAGTTCTCGAATTATTGCAATGTACGAACAGACTCATTCTTGACTGAAATACATAACTTCTACTCAATAATATTTGTGTGTCATTGTGGGTGTTAATTTTAATTAACAAGCACAACATTTTTTCATATAAGTTTAATTCAAGTAGGCAAACAGAATAGAAAATAATGCATGCATATAAACAAAGTAGCTCAAAATAAGATTATCATCAAATTTATTTGAACCTAGGCAACAATTGATTATTCAAATTATTTGGAAATTCAACTCTTGCATGAATAAAAAATTCAACAATTTACATTTAAAAATAATTCGATTTTATTTATTTTTTGTTTCCTTCGACAATTAATCTAAACCAAAAGCACGGTTTTTTAAACGGATATGACATTTGAACATTTCATTTTCATTTGTAAAAAAAAAAGCGAATTGTTCTTTCATTGTAATACGAAGACAGCAGCAAAGACTTAGCCATCTATATCGAATAATCAATAGTTTATGGCGAAGCAGAGACATGAATAACTGGATACTGTATCTTTAACAAACTTTTGTCAGTCATAATAGAAAAATAAATTCATTTGATATGATTCAGCAATCATCTATGAAAAATTCTTTGATAAAAATGTTGACTTTTCTTGTTTTATGTCAAATGCAGGTGCCAAAATTTTGAATTCATCTACCCAAGGGACAAAACGATTATGCAAGTCATTTAATCCATAGGAAAAAAATTATGAAATTCGATCAACGTTGACTGAACTATGAGTGGATTTTCTCTTAGTCATACTTGTTAGCCAACCAATTTAATTGAGAAATAACCAAAATTGATACAAGTAAAATCGAAAAGAAAAGAAATATTTCTTTTAGAAATTCTTTTGACGTATATCCACTGTCTGAAATACTTCTTAACAAATAAATCATTCGATTAATAAGAGATGAGCAAAATATTTTTCTTATTTTTTTTAATTCTTCACAATCAATGCCTTTGAAATTCAACATTTTCTAACATTTGAATATTGCCAGAGATAGACTAAGTTAGTCATGTATCAAGAAGCAAGCAATGTAATTAATTCATTGATTTTTATTTAAATGTATTTAAAAGCGTAGTATGAGATAAAACTATGAAAAAAGAAATGAACAATATAATATTTGATCAATAATAAAATGCGATTAAAAACGAAAAGTTTTTGTTTTTTATGATGATTTCCATGGAAATTTTTCTCCTTTGGTATCCTCGAATTGAAGTTGACCTCGTGCATCACTGCATATAATTTCTCCTGAATCTCCATCCAATAAAATTAAAGTTGGAATGCCAGTAATATTAAATTTTTTGGCTATTTCTTCCTTTTTTGCACGATTTTTAAAATCTAATGTTAACCATGGCATCTCTTTATAATATTCATTAAATGAATTTTCATCACGATCAGAGCTTATAAATATTATTTCAAAATTTTTATCTTTTGCATGTGAGTTATAAAATTGAACTAATACTGGAGTAAAACCACGACATGGTGGACACCTAAGCAAGAAAACAAACCCCAAAAAACACTTTCAATAAAATATAAAAGAATAGCAATTTGCCAATGAGCACTAAAATAAAGACCAATTACTTTGCCTTTACATTTTTCATTGTTAAGATCAACTAATCCATTTGATTTATCAAGAATATGACCATCAAACAATTTGCTACACCAGCCATGATAAATATTTCTACGTTTGAACGAGCTTCAAAGCAGTCAGTTTAGTAATGACTTGTCGTTCTTGTCTTCGTTATAATTTTCTGCTTTTTTTTCTCTTTTCCTTAGTTACCTTGACATTGCCAGAAAAAAGAACCAAAAAAGAAACATGTTTACTATGCCTATTGGCTGAGTATTAATCAATGAGATTGTCATTTATTCTTTTTGTATGTGCTTACAACAACTTTCTTTTGCTTTTGTAAGAATAATAATGTGAAGGAGTATCGAAAAAAATCAAAAGGATTTATTTTTAGAACTAATGAAAAACTTCAATTTGATTTTTCTTTTTTTCCAACTTCCATGTTTGAGATCAGAGAGGAGAACAACATGTTTTATTTTCTTAGGGATATTTGTAAATCGAAGATTGAATTCATTCTAGTCGAACCTTTCACCATCGTTCTTTTCAGTTTCTTATTTTTCTTGATTGATTAGTGCAGATACTTTCTCAATCGTAAATGTCAAACAAGACTCTTGCTTATCGGTGGAAAGATATTTATCTGAGTTCCAAGGTTAATAGCAAATAATTTTTCTGTATAAGAGTATCTGGGTGTAGGTGTATATCTTCTTCTCGTCCACATCCACACCCACCCATATCCTGATTACGATCTTTAATATTTTCGCTGAACATTAATCGATTTTTGTAAGTTTCTATAACATGATTTAATCGAAAGAAAATAATATAAAATTTAAAGTGGATCAAAGAAAATATTTTGGTAGATCTAAAATAAGAATACACATTGTTAGAGATCTACTAAAAGAGCATTTTTTCAGGCATTTTCAATTACCTTTTACAAAAATTCGTCGAAGAATCTAGTAGCATATTCCTAATTTTTCAGTATGTTCAGCCTTTAAAAGCAAAAAATTCTCTACTGAAGAGGCTTGTAAAAGAACTTTGGAAATTTGACCCTGGTTCTCAGAAAAATAAAATAGAAATGTTTCATTCTTTATGGATCATCGTTTACAATTAGATTATCCCATATTATCTGAGCTGAAATATATAAGTCCTAATTAAAAATGCAAGCCTGATTGGCAAGATTTCAATGTATTGGAAACCATCAGAAAATATAGGAAATGTATAGAAACTAACGAAAAAGTAAAAAATATTGTAGGAATGAATTTGCTTCTCCCTAGCACCATCGAACAAATCCGTCATAAAAATTTATGACAATTATTATGTATTTACATGCTCAATATGAATGCTTTCATTATAATATGCTCATGTGGGGAAAATTTTAATGATTTAGTTAAAACCCACTCCACCTAGCCCATGGTAACTTCACCCAGCCCCATTTCGATCTCTGGTCAACTGTTGACAATAACAGTTTCATGAACAGTTTCTTCGAACTTATTCATCTAGATCAATGAAGAGTTGATATTGACTACAGTTATTTCTAGCTGGCTCACGCTGTCAAATGTTGTTTCATTATCAAAAGTATTATTGTTGAGCGTACTATGAGTGGGCGGGTGGGTGTGGATGTGGGCTCATCTTTATTTGACTCACACTCTGATTCTGCCTGACATGCATATTTTTCCCTAATTTGTAGTATGCATGCTGTTCCATGCAAGAATTAATTTTTTTCTTCGCTGTGTACTTATTTAATTCTCGTTAAAATGAAATCACTCATATGTCGTCACGCTGTATTGGTTCAAAAAGTTTGTTCATTTTTTCAAATTCTTTACAGTTGTTAGGATCCAAAAACACGCTTACCTAATAGTGAACAGACAATCATCAAAGTCTCTAGTTTTATTGCACTTCTAATATAAGTAGATAGTCGAATGCTGTAGAAATTCTTCTTATAAAATAAAGTATGCGTGCCTGAATTTTATCTCTGAAAAAACTGCTTGCATGCGCATCTTTAGTTTTCACGTTTGACTGAATTAAAAATAAAAATTTGTTTCATAAATGCATTTTGATGAATATGAATTAAAACAAAGAAATATTCGAGAACGTCAGTTTTTAACATTGTTCCCGCAGGACACTAGTACTATCTGTCTGTTCGTTTGTCGAACGTTGCGTCAGACATTCTAACGTTGTCTTCATCTTGTTTATAAGTTTAATAGAGTCTACTTTCCACTCATCAATTCATTTCATCAACGGATGATGATGAATTTGTTTTTGTTTGGTCATTCAAGTTTTGTTGAAACTGGTCATGAAGAGAAGTTACTTCTTCGTTCAAGTGTTTAGCTAGTTCTTATCGATGTTCAGTTGTCTGACACAAGCAAAGAGCTTCTGCGCATCCACGTTTTGTAAAAGTGCCCTCTGCCGTGCCACACCTTGTAACAATATCAGTTGTTTGTTGTTAAAATTGCTGCCTGGTGGTGCTACAAGAAACGTAAACAAAGCAAACTATGTTAAGAATACCAAAAAAGAAATTGTTTGAAGAAGAAAATGAGATGAAACGTTTTAATTGGTAGCAGACGAGAATGCTATGGCATGTCTCTTTTCATCGTGGAAATAAAAATTTTCGATGTATTGCTTGGTTTTCCCCATGTTTTTTCTTCTTGCAATCTAGGATCGAAAAATCATTCTACGGAAAATAAAGTATCTAATGCCTGTGGTCCTTCAGTTTTTGGACCATTCATCATTTTATTGTATGTAGCCCTATCATATCTCACTGTAAAATACTTTCTTTTATTAATTAACTAAAAATAACTGTACTTAAGACCGACTGCAAAAATTTGGATTCAGTGCATGACTACATTTTACTACATGGAATAGAGTTGAATGAAACTAATTATTAATCGATATCGAAAAAGTTTTTGTTATATTGAAATAACTGTTAATAAACTTTTGTTGTTCTTGACGAAATCGTTTTATCACTTTTTCGACATTTGTCAAACAAGAATAGGTTATGAGTTGCCATTGTCCTTCGTATGATCAAGCTTCAATAGTGAGCAACTACTTGCCGTCAATGGATCGATTTCTAAACATTTCTTCACTCCCTCAGATTAGTCGACAATTTTCATCTCAATGCAAATTTATTAGAAAAAAACAGCTCATTTTCAGACTTCAGAAAATTTCGAAAACAATAGCGAAGACAGTAGATTTCAAAATTCAGAGTTAAACAGATTTCATTAGACTTCATGTAGGAGAATAAGATGTGTGTTAATTCGTTTAATAATTTCTTCAAATCCTTACTTCTCTCTATTCCAGTTTCTAAATCAACTGCAAGTTAAAAGAATGCAAAACTTCTTTATATCGTTTTTGATTTTAAAAGATAATAGGTGTTCCGTATATAATAGCATTACTTGCTTTATGTGACAAATTTCGTTGTCAACTTTAACCAGATAGCTTTGAAATTTTCACTCGTAGTTTATCTCTTTAACTATCTACAAAGCTGTGTACAAAATTAAAGAAGACTGCGTAGCACAAAAACAGAATAGAGCAAAAAATTTTTATATCCTTAAATAATGGTTGAACAAACATTCTTCTTTCTCGTATTTTAATACGTACAATTTTATCGAATTCTTTCTTCTCTTTGATTTACAATGCTGATTCTATACTTTTCGTTTGTTGCAATACAAATATTTAATTAATTCAGTAAGTCATTTTCTTTCAGGATAAACCATCAAAAGTTCAAAAGATAAAATTTTTATTGAAATTTTCAGCTTCAAATGTTCGCTCAGGATTACTTTGCATGATATGAAATTGAACAAAGATATTCAACGTATCGAAACATACCTTTCGACACTTCTGACACATGGAAAGAGCTAAATATTTGGCAGACAATTATAGGTGATCAATGTAACAGAAAGTTCTTGAGAAAAACCCATCGTCGAAAAATCGAGAGACATTTTTTTCAGGAAACAGCTTAAAATTTCCGAAGGTACGGCGTAACAAATGATGACTTTTATTCCTTTTTTTTAAACGAATAGTAAATGATGTACGTGTTATGTATAAGAAAAGTAAATATAGAAATGGTTAATAGTTTTCTTGTTTAAAGATCAAAAGTATCAATTATAAGATTAAGACTAATTAAATTTCTAAAAAAAGAACAATTGAATCTGGAATAAATTTGAATTCACACGAACTTTCTATAAAAATTGTTGTTACCAAATGAAATTAAGTATTTATTCATCACAAATTTACAACTTTTTCTTTCTTCGATATTAGAATGTTAGATAGACTTTTACATAAAATTGATGGTTATAACACGAAAATGCAGCATTTGCCAGAATCCTAGCGAAAGAGTCATTCAATAAAAAGGATGTCTTGTACGTAGTTTGTTAGGACGATGCAATGCATGTTATAACAATTTCTTCACTATAGACATAAACTGTTCTTAACTAGAATGCTTTTTCTCAATTTTCTTACAGATTATGACTGATATAACGTCATAAGTGATGTCTACTGTATCCCTTTCCGGATTATTGAAATGAAAAATTAAGATTTATTTTGTAAAATATGTTGTTTTGTTTAATAAAGAAAATTTTTCATGTTTTAGATTTCAATCCAACACAGATTTTCATTTTCTAAGAAACGTATTTCATATTATATGATATTGTCAATAATAATTACAATACTTTTGTATGAGAAAAATAGTCTCTGGCATATTTCGGAAGTCCATAACCGTTTAAGAATAAAGATTTCAGTTTTGCACAATTGGTTCGTGTTGTATTTCTTGTAAAATGGTATGTTACTCTTTTCAATGATTCAAAATAGACGTTAAGATGAACATTATTTGATAAAAATGTTTTACTATCATCTAGAAATTGTTCAATATAATCATCATGAGCGGAATAAAGTGTTACGCTAGTAAGATAATGAAATTTGATAATAGATAAATCTTGGTTATCTTTGTTTGATTCTCTGCATAATTTGTTTTTTTGTGGTTTGGAATTCATTACAGACAATTCTTTCAAAAATGGAAATGATTGAGAAATTCGAAGAAAAAATTCATATTCAAATGGATGTTCATCGTATAACGTTATTTCACGAACAAATTTGCATAATACACCTGGAAAATTATTTGTTATATAACCGTAAGATTTCCATTTGTATGGATATGTATAAATAAAACACCGACTAGAATGGTCATTATGGAAATAATCAATATAAGAAATAATGTGATTATTTTTAAAATCACGAAATGTATGTTTAATATCTTCAGTTGATGTTAGATCAATTTGATTACGAAGATGAAGGAATGAATCAATATTAAATGTAAAATTTTTTAATCGTGCCATATGATCAATAATATTTTTCTTCAAATTATTTCCATCAATAAATATTTTTTCCACATAAACATAAACATTCAAATGAAGTTTCTCTAAAGTCGACATTTGTTGTAGAAGTGGTACAATTAATTTATCATAAGCATCTGTAATGAAATTATATTGTAGCGAAAAACATCTTAAATTAGGTAGTTTTTCCTATTAAAAAGAATAAAAATGAATTAGTTCGAATAAATTAAAGATTAATCAAAATAATCTACATTATTACTAATTGGTAAAGATGAAGAGTCAATATGAGAAATCTTAACATAAAGTGTGCAAAGTTTATTGAAACGTTCATCTAGTGAATAAAGGCAATCGATGAAATTCTCCACATAAACATTCAATTCTAAGAGATTTGACGAGATAACAGCTGAAGATGAAATCTACAATGATAATCGTTGTTTATGAATTGAGTATAAATCTAAATCTAAATATATTTGTGTCTCTTTTTGAACCTAGTTTTTCATATTTAATCTTGACAACAAGTGATGAGATTTGATTTTTGTTTATATGAGTTAAAGATTCGTCTAAATAAAAAGAATGAAATCAATGAGGAAAATATTTCTCAGATTTTATTTTGATAATTAAATCAAAATATTTATTAACAGTTCTGTTATGTATATGTGTGTTTTTTTCTTTTAAATTCTTCAATACATTATACTATATCACCGATCTTTTTGTTTTATCTCAATCATTTATTTTATTTTACAATTACTTCGTTCAGAGTCAATGTTTAAAGTTCGAATACAAGTGGTTCTTTTTCACTACTAATCTTCTTCTAACTCATATCTATCAAGAAATATTAGTAAATTCGAAAATGCTTTTATAAAAAAAATATTTATAATGATTAAGATCTGATTATATAATGTATATAGTCTAAATCATTTTAATTTTCATCTATATTTTTCATTGATTAATCAATGAAAGAATTGAAGTGTCTTACCAATAAATAGAGATAAAGCTTTTTCGCTGTCAATATTATATAAACCAAGTCCACATAAATTTGGATAATTCGTTGCAAGAAGAATCTGTTTCATACATGAGGATTCAAGATTAAGCCATTTGATTCTATGATGAATTTCAGGTAAAATTCGTAAACAAAATTGATCAAGCATTGGATCAGATAAGGGATAAGTGGAATCATCCGAAAAATATCTCATCAATGTTAAACGACTCGTAAAAATTGAATCGTGTGCAATTATATTAAATCGATTATTAATACCTATTAGAGAGTAGAGTACTTCGACATTGAATAGTTTTTTTTGAAAGTAATCTCGTCAGATAAGTCATTTAATTGAGTACATGAATATTCCATGTTTATTGTCATTTATCTATTCTTTTTAGCTTATAAATATCAATATTTATATAGATATTGTAGGCGAAATTAGAATTCCGTCAAATTCTGAATTTGTCTAGTCAAAATTGGACTATATTCGACCGTAGAAGGGTGAGGAGGTCGGTAAAAGTAAAAATGCCAGTGAAATTGCCGCTCTACGCGGTTGTTCACTTCCCTCTCACCCAGACTCACCTTATTCTCACTGGCAGTCGTGACTTTCTTGTATTCTAATTGTTGGTATTTCTTTAAGTTCTGCGGTTCATAAAAATAATATTCTAATTTTGCCTAAAGTGTAGACATACATATGTGTTCTATCTGACCGATATCGTCAATGAAAATCATGATGTACTTTTTGTTTATAGTCTAAAGTGGCAATTAATAAATGAAATTATTTCTGTTTGTTCTAGATGCAGACAAACATTAACAGGATCTCTTTGGTTTCTTGCGATCTATTTAATCTTCTGCTCATCATAAGGTCTAAAGGGATGTAGTTGTGATTACAAATAACTTATAAAGAGAGAAAGCAATTGACACAAAGCATAAACATAAAACAATGAGCAAAGATAACATGAGTTATGACCGATGGTTTTTTACTGAGTTGTACCACCTTGGTATGCAAGCAGAATGCATAAACCATCGACGAACAAGTAGCTTCCGATGTATAGAACAGAGTTATACAAATATGATGCTGTGGGAGGGAAAGCTTGAATAGAATGCTAATTCTCGAAAAACGAACACGTTGCCATTCTGCTATTCCTGATCCTCAACAATCTCTTTATTCATTGTAATACACATAATAATGTGACCAATATGTTGTTCATGCTTGTTAGAATTCGTTTTTCAAAAGTTCAAGATTATTTTATTTACAGGTTTACTAAATACTTGAATAGATGACATTTGACAATTGTTCATATCGCAATGTTGTATGTTTTTATTTCAATCTGATTATTTTTAAAATCATCATAAATAAAAATAGAATGAATTATTTTTTAATACAACTTTCCCTTCTATAATGAATATATAGTGTGAATATATTTATTCATTATAAGTCCTGCTGTCCTTTATTTATTAATTTAATTTATGCTTTTTAAAGAAATAATATATTTTTCAAATGAAAACGTTTTATTAAAAGGTCAGAGAAATACGATGTATTTATTAATTTGTTTGTTTCAAAAGCAATGGTTTTGCTTTTCGAGTGATAGTGTTGTTCATCATCGTCGATCGACGATTCTCACTGAATATCAAAACTAAAGAAAATTAATTCTGTTTTTGAGACCGATTAGGTTGATTTTAATTGATTCCATTAAGGAATCATATGTTTTTTGAAAACATCAAAGTTTAATTAAAGCCAATACATGATGCTTATTATAAACAAGTAATTACTTTTGTGAAATAGTATCAATTGAAATCACTTGTGATGATTCGACTGTTACTTTTTTAGTGCAATATTCTGAACACACACATCAACATCATCCTGAACAACATTTGAATTCACGTTTAATAACAATAATATTCTAATTATGCGAAGAAATGTTTTTATTAGAAGTGAAGACAATGATCAGACTTTCTTCATTTATATTATGGATAATGCGTAGTGTGAAACATCATCTAGCTGTACAGCATCAACGTTGCCAACATGACGAAGCTTTTCAGAATTAAACTCATATACTTTCTAAAGGTTGCAGTATTCGTTCATTTTTATCATAAAAAATATTAAATTTCGCTTGAGATGCAACATCACATAATACTTCAATAGTAAACATAAATTTAGTATAAATTTTACTTTTCCAAATAATTTACCTGAAGAAATTTGCTTTACAATCAATGTATTGATCATTCTTAAACAATGAAGTTTAATTGCCTCAGTATATATTGGAGGTAATAAAGAAACCATTTGATGTATATTCGCTCGATTATTCTTCTCTTCATATCCTTTTTTACCCATTTTCTCAATGGATGTATTGATAAGACTTCTGTTTACACCAGAGATGTCCATGGCGACGCTACCGTCGTGGCAGTGGCTACGTGGCAACCGCAGATTTTTTAGAAAGCATCGCGGCGCAACAGCAATGCTGGAGAGATTTTTACAATGCCGTCGCGACGGCAGTCTTTTTTTAGGAAGAAATAGCAAAAATTCATGAATTTGCACAGCATCTCAGTGTTCATATATATTATACTGTAAGACTTAACAAATCTGATCGATTAGCAGCAGCAGTTATAGTTCAAAGCAGGGCTTTCTGTTATTTCGCCAATTATACTTTTTCACCGTTGCGCTTCTATATATCTTAACTAATTCAATTTGATCGGTCACCATATCAAGTAATATAGTTGAGTTACAACACAATTCATTCAAAATGGCGTACTTCGTGGGAAAATTCACCAATTAGCGAAATTAAAGTTCCCTGCTTTAACAGTTGAATATGCGCATATTTAACTGTATGTCCCGCCCATAGTCTATTGCATGGTCACTGACTTTATTTTCACCATTGGTTGGGATATTTGCAGTCCCTCTAGATACACTACTAAAGGGACAGAACAAACAGTGCGGTTCAAACTGGGTTTTTTGAGTAAAATTTGGAATGACTTACAGCCTAATAATCGATACTTTTTACGATCTTTTGAAATGATTTTCCAGCCGCTCCAATTAATTTTATGATTATTTTCTATTTGGTGTTCATTGATAACTGACTTTTCAGCTGTTCTTCGTTTACACTTTCAGTTTTATCTTCATTATCTTCTTTAGGAAAATAATTGATTTTAGGTTTGCCATTATTTCAATCAGATCTTCTTAGTTGTTAATCAGTAGAGACTGATTCGATTAATTGTGAAGTGCAACCTGGGTTTGACTGTTTTGGTGTCCCCATGTTCATGATGTCTTCTAGAGGCTTGCCTACTGGTTTTTCCTATGTAAGTTTCATCACATTCAAAGCATTATATCATGTAAACTGTATTAGATTGAGAATCTTTTTGGATTTTATCTTTTTTGTGATAAAAAGCTTATTAACTCTGGTGATGGACGGGAAATCGGTTATACTTGATAATCAAGTGGGATAGTTTTAGTTAGACCTATGATCTTCTTTTCCAAAACTTTTGTTGCATTTCCAACATTGGGTAGATCAATGAAAAATTGTTTACTTTTTGGACATTTATTTTCTGACACTGTTGATTCCTTTAGTGATGCTTTCGATCTCTTGGTTCCTTCAATATGTTCATTGAGTGTTTTTCTAATTTGATTGTCAGTGCACTTTAATGGATATTCATTGCTATATAGTTGCTAGATTTATGATGCACTCAAATTTAGTATGTAAGAATTAATAAGTCGAGCATATTTTGGTCGCTCTATAGTAGTGTCCTGCACAAGTACCACCTTTCGCACCTGGACCCGACCCGACACTTTTTTTATTCCCGAACCCGAATAGCTGTACCCGGCACCCGATTACACCCGGTTCGGCAGTAATCAACATCCTATAGGTAAGTTTGCAGTCACATACACTTTTCAAACGTTTAGTTCATGTGACAAAATATAATTATTATTTTAATTTCATCAATAAACAACAGTAGGGTGTGGGTGCCGATGTGAGTGTGGTTGTGAGGCGTGGGCGTGAATTTGGGAGTAGATCCTCTGTTAATGAACAATTAGACTCAGACTCACACCCATCCACGCTCACGCCTTCAGTTGCGATTTTTTAAATTTGTATTAGTCTACTTTAAAACATGGACTGTTCTTCCATACATTAGGTAACAAAATAATTAAATCAACTTTTAAAAAATACTTTTCGTAGTATAAATAACTATTTCGAACTTCATGTTCAAAAAAACACCAACTAAAAACTTTTCCAGTTTCTTTCTAGATTCGAAGAATCATGACTATATTGAAAATTATCAATTTTCATACCATTTTACTGAAAATTTGTCTCGGTTTCTTACTAATGTATATCCTCGTTTACCACCATTTTTCATCTACTCCTCATGTTAAATATTTTATTGCTGTTGTCAGCGATGCTTCTGAAGAAAATGCATAGTTGACAGAAATTTACAAAAAAAGGATTAGAAAGAAGAAAGATAAGAAAAGCAGTGTTTTTATGCTGCACAGATAAAAAGGTCCTTCGACAAACAAATGATACGTCTCGCATACACAACATTCAGCCAAGGTGAGAGCTGTCGTCATTGAAATTTTATTGGAGTATTAAGTTTTGATTCCTGCACGCTGGTAAGTAGCTTATTAGGATGGTTCCCTAAGCAGATCATCAAATGTTCTAAACGTCATAAACATAGCAGATATGCAACCAGAATATGAGTTATATAGGATTGAGATATAAATGAAATCCTTACCCATGACAAATTTCCGTTTATTTGATCGACTGATGATTGTTTCTTAGTCAGTGGTGTATCGAATTTAAGTGCCTGTATGCATCGCACAAATGTTGATTAATTTTTATTGTTCTTTATTCTAGAATTTTGTCTGCATTTTGCGTGATTAGCTTGTTACGTTTGTGTCATATTCTATTCATGACCTTTTGCAGTGTTCGATATTGAAATCGAACTGTCAAGATAATATCACTGGCAATTTTATAAGATAAGAAATAAAACAGATGCTTTCATACTTCGGAAATCTGTCTGTTGAGAAGCATGAGTGAATCGTTAATAGCGACGGGGGAACATTTGCATAACATAGAAATGCTTAGCAGTGAAGCCGAAAATCTCTCCGCTGAAAAACTTGCGGATAACGATATAGACAATCAGTGAGCACGAATTCTATTTGATCTAAATTCAAAGCACGACAGTGATCAGGAAATCTACCGAGCGTCGACGCGACGCCTATCA